CCAAATATTATGCTTTTTCAAACTCTTTTTAGCACTTCAAAATCACATCCTATATTTATTGCCAAATCTAATAATTGACTTACAGCTAATTCTTTAAATCTAAAAGCATACGAAAATATTAATATTTTTTAATCTTAAGCTCTAATTTTTCAGTCAAAATTACTTCAACTCTTGCACACGTTTTTTAAATGTTATAAAAATACCAAACTTCTAAAATCAAAGCATAGGGTTTTCCATGCAATGGTGAAATTAATCAGATTCCTTAAACATCAAGTTCTTTTTCCAATGAAATAGAAATAGTGACTATTAATCAATTCCAAAAATGTTAGAATCGTTTTAAAAACTACATTCTTAATTATTTCACTGTGGTATTGGTTCAGGGAAAAATATATTTATTTTTAATTTTATCTTATTTATTACCATACAGACAAAGTCGTCGTAAAATAAGACAATAAACCATACTAACTAAATCACGTAGACACTGACAAAAATTAGTAAAACTTGACTTATTCCATTGAGATCATTATTTACAAAGAATTTAAAAAGCCACTGTAACATAACAAAATTAATTTTGATGAATCCCTTGGGACGTGTAAAAGAGATTTTTAAAAGCTTACTTAAAAAATAAATGACTTTTATTACTTTCTATGACTTGTTCTTGATTTCATAACCATTTACGAAAAAAAATATCTGTAGTAACTTTTTTTGGTATCTTACAGCGGCTAAAACTTATAAAAATATTCACGTTCTTATACCAGTTCTTATAAATTATTATGTCAACTGGCACATTTTCTCAATAATAAGTAGATCTAACTTAAACACAAAATAAGTGTCGAATAAAACAAGTGTTTACTGACCTTTTTTGTATAATGCCGGTACTGGCCGTTATGATTATGTATAAAATAAAACATATAAAACAATACATCTATATTGTTGAGTTAATACTTTTTCGCTTGAAAGCAGAGAATAAAGAATCGTTCAAACGTGGATATAGTCTAGAATCATTATCAAGATAGTGAAGGAAGTGATCTATAAAGATTAATCTCATTGTCATTTTAAAATTTAGGCCTGTCCAGAACAAGCAGTATTTAAAAACGGATATTACTTTTATTTCAATATCAATTATGATAATGTATTAGAACATTATGGCATCAACTTTGATTTGCACACGTAAGTACTGGCGAAGTGGCGACACTGACCACTCGCAATGAAATGTTGCTTTTTTTTTTTTATTAATGCTAAATGGACCTGGTCATTTTCATTTTACCAGAAAGTAAATGTTAAATCTGGCAATCGTTTTTTAAACATCTTTGAATCACGATTTAAATTAAGTAGTATAAATGTTAACGTTACTTACTCATCATCATCTTAATAAGCAGTTTTGGCTTAGCCAAAACCTGTTGCAATCGTGTAAATGTACCTCAAAAAATCCATACAAAAGGTACGGATAAATACTAAATATCATCAAAAACCTCAATTCTTCTCACTCACAGCAGTCTCGTTCATGCCCACTTGTCCCAGCAGCTGGGCCACGCTGGGCTCGTGTAGTGTAAGGACCGCGTGGGCTTCCACCATGACCACGAGCGAGTTGCGTGCTTCTTCGTGCGCGACGCCGTGCGCGCGAGTCGCGTGCGCGTACCACGCGCCCGTAGATGGCAGCACTGCTACGCACCATTTGCATGACAGTCTGTGGTAAAAAGAAAAAAAGTAATAAATAGGCGGTGTTCTGGCTGCCAGTATTCATTGCACGAGTCTGTGGTAAAAAGTAAAAATCAAAAAAGTTAAATAGAGGCATTTTATCACTGTCAGCATATAATATTTTTCTGTTGGTTATACTCCAGAATCAAAAATTATTATCAAGATGCAGTTCACTGCTAGGTTCTGCTAATGTCAAAAAGGATAATCCCATGTTGTTTTCTACTAGGATGTGGTCTATAATAAGTACACATATGCTGAAAAGAGGTCTCCAAACGAGAACCACAATTTTAATTGACTTCTGAAGGTCTTTTACAGGTTTATTCCGCGCCTGTCGACCTTGTGTTTGCTCGACCTTGTGTTTCCTCTGCCACATGAGTTTATTCGTATTAGTTTTATTCCCATAATATTTCAACAATAACAGTTTATGTAAAAAATCTTTACAAAAACGGTTTAATAGAAGTGCTTATGTACTAACCTATTTGTTAAATGCCTGGACTTCACATGTCTTCGCCTATAGCCCCAGCTGTTGTAGATGCGTGGACAAAACGGACACGGAAACGAGGGGTTAGCATAGCATGTATTATTCTTATCTGAAAACAACCATAAATTATTATTACTATCATATTCATTTTAAAAAAATACTTGAATAGTAGTGATCAATTTGTACCTTTGCAGATATGCGCATCATTAGACACAGAATTCAAATTTTCAGTTGTGATGCTCAGAGATTCTACGATAGTCCCACTTTGTAAAACCGTTTCAACTTCTTTGTCAATTTCAATGGATTCCTTGTCTTCATCGATTATATCAAGGCTAGTTTTATCATTAGCAACGTTCAGACAAGGTTGAGTGCTGCTCACTTCGTTGATCCATTTCTTTACGCTATTATCAATGGAACCGGTACACGGTGATTTACCGGTCAAACTTTCTGGACTTATGGAATATTTCTTTTCTGTGTCCTCTAGTAATGCAATGTCTGTGTCGTTTGTGTTTTCGCCTGAATAATCTGTCAATGGCGAATCTATGGGCTCCACTTTAGGGACTATAACCTGAAATTAAGGGAAATTGTTTTAATTTATGACCAATGTGAACATGTCACTTAAAATATATCCTACTAATATTATAAATGGGAAAGTTTGGATGTTTGTTACTCTTTCACGCAAAAACTACTGAATGGATTTTGATGAAACTTTACTGTATTATTGTGTACTAGCTTTCCGCCCGCGGCTTCGCCCGCGTGGAATTTTGTCTGTCACAGAAAAACTTTATCGCGCGCGTCCCTGTTTCAAAAACCGGGATAAAAACTATCCTATGTTCTTTCCCGGGACTCAAACTATCTCTATGCCAAATTTCATCAAAATCGGTTGCGAGATTTAAGCGGGAAAGCGTAACAGACAGACAGACAGACAGACAGACAGAGTTACTTTCGCATTTATAATATTAGTTGGGATAACCCCGAATAACATAATAATAGGCTATAATTTATGACGCGGCAAAAGCTAGTTACTAATAATAAATGAAAATGAAGGAATTTATGACTGCATATTATTGAGATTTGTATCCTAATAAAACAATACAGATAAGACTTATTACTTGTCCATACTTACATAGCTTTTGGCCGGGTCTACAACGCTGACGCTTGAGTTGACCACGGTTTCAGGCTTGGGCGGACTAGTGAGCTTCTTGCATTTGTTCGTATTATTGTTGTCTTCATGCTCACTCTTCTTCCGTTTCTTTGTTTGAGTCGTAGTTGTTTTCTGAAAAACATTATGTCATCGCCTATTATTTTGGAATAGAGTGCTTTGGATCTTGAAAAGGTTCACTTGAATTCATTGAAGATCTATTTCATGAAGAGTCATAGCCACAATCAATAAACATTATGAGATTCAGTGAACTTTTAATCTTACTCTATGACTTCAGACCAACATTATCTAAATAAACGCTGAATTATTGAAAATAAAAAGCTGCACTTTACCTCATCCTCCTTGCCAGCATCATAGCCCCGGGACAAGCCACAGATCCTCAATGTTTCTGCTGTTTTCAAAAGCACTGGCAGGAATTCCTCAGTCACGTTGACCTCCCCGTTGTACATAAACGTCAACAGTGTTTTCAGAGAGGCCGTGTTGATGTCATGAAGTACTATAATTGGATCTTTGTGGGGGTTTTGCTGCAAAAAATGAGTGGGCGTTACGAACATATCTGACGAGGTAATAACACTTTTGTAGCTTTATTTAATATATTTAAGGGATACTCACTTGAAATATACTCCTAAAAACAATACTATTTGCAGATAATATCACTTTATGAGCCTTAAAACTCTGTCCATCCGATACTAACGTTACATCGGACAAGCCTTCGTCTTTATACAACTCTTTCACGTTTAACAATATGTTATTTTGATACCCGTTCCATTTTAAACTTATTTCTTGATTTGCCATAGTTATTTGTTATAAAAACATACAGGATAATTGACAAAAAGCAAATAAAAATGAAAAACACAAAGTCGAAGACGCGAAATTGGTTTGACAGTTTGACAAGCAACCAATAACTTTTTTTTAGTGATCTGGTTTTGCATTTTTTGAGCCAATTCGAAAATATTTTTATAAGATAAAAAGTTATTTAATTTTATAACACATTAAATTATGATCTTTTTTATTAGTGTTTAACTATAGTTATTTTCTGATATTTTTGTGAATAATAATTAATAGATCTGCTTAGTTAGCTCCATCTATTGGATTAAATATTATTTAAATCGTACCATGCTCTTGTTGGTTCAACATTGATACATCAACATTTTTCTAAGTTGCGATAGATGGCGCAAACAATACATTATAACGACCCACTCCGCCAGACCAGAGGTTGCAGGTTCGATCCCCGGACAATACTTGAACATTTTTTCTATAAAAGATTAAAGTTGAACTGTTGAAGCGAGGCTATTTATTTCCAATAAGCGTAAAAAATTCCCCATATTGGGCGGTGACTGGTTTCCAGGGCCACGCAGGTAAGCAGTAAGTAGGATTCAAACCCACGACAGCCAACTGGGCGAGTTCAAAAATCCAAAAATGATTGTGCTGTCATCTTTTTGGCCACATTTGGTATCACGAACTAGGTATTTGACGCTGACTGTACCTTGCCATCATCTAGCAAAGCAATCGGCCGTCAAATAAATCCGATAGATAAACTTCTGTAAAACTATAACATAATCTATTATCTATCACGGTGAAGAAGGTCTCTCTTATCTTCAAGCTAGCTCTTACAAAACTATTGTTCCCGTGCTCAGTCATTAGCCCATCCATGCAAGGAGTTGCTGGCTCTTCAATATCAGGCAAAATGTTCTCCGCATCACAAATAAAGCTTATCTCAATCTTGAGTCTGATAACCTTCATAAACGCAGACTTGAGATCGACTGATAGCAGCTTGCTTGAAGATGCACATTTGGACACCGTGAGTAATAAACGCAATGTAGTAACTACAATGTAGGTACCTAAACCTTCAAGTATATTGACAATACTAAAGGTATTAAACTACCATTCCATGTTTTCAACGAAACTATTTTATCAAATATTGGGGGCAAATGAAATAAATACAGGGTGGTAACACTAGTTCACCACCAAATAATTAACATCCATTTCACTCTCCCATCTAGTTCTCCATCGTAAGAAAGTATGGTTATCACTGCGAGATCCACCGCGTCTACACGGAAGACGAATACGTTCTGGAGATGCACCGGATCCCGTATGACAAGGACTGCGCCAACCCTGGTGACCCTCGGCCGGTGGTGTTCCTGATGCACGGACTGCTATCTTCTTCAGCAGAGTGGATTATCATGGGTCCCGGGAAAGGTTTAGGTGAGATTTTTCAAAAAAACATATTTCATTCATTTTGTAGTGCAGTTCTATTTCTTTTCAAAAATAAAGGAATGTTTTCTTTGAGTAAAATTTTCTATCTATAGTATTAAGAGTACTTTCCCTCCAGGTGGCATTACAAAATTCCACTCTGTATAGATTGTGATTAGGTACCTAGTTGCTCTGTATGTAGATAAGAGCTATTGATAAAATTAAATAATAGGTTCAGGTAAGCTTGTAGATTTTGTAGATTTGAAACTGTTCGAAATGGCGTAGGTATGTACCTACGTATTTCTTTCTTACTGAATTAATTTTATATGGTAGAGTTCAAATTGCCGGCCACTATCGACTCCCGTATGAGGGAAAAAGTCCCACATTTTTTATCTGTAATAATATTGCGCTACCACATTCATCAAACGATATTGACTTACCCCCTTACTAATAAAAAGTTATACAGTTGTTGAACACTGGTTTAACATTTCTATACAACGTCACTTTAAAACACTGTTCAACGAGCGTATAAGTTTTATTATTAAGGGGGTTAGTATCAGCGTATTATGTTTTGATTTGTGTGTTTTTCTATTAAACGGGGTTATTTTCAGCATACATTCTGTCCGAAGCCGGCTACGACGTATGGATGGGCAACGTCAGAGGAAACACGTACTCCCGAAGCCACATGACCCTGAATCCCTCTTCGTCCTCCTTCTGGAAGTATAGCTGGCACGAGATCGGTTACTACGATCTGCCAGCTATGATCGATTACGTCATAGAAGAGACTGGAGTTCCTAAAATCCATTACGTTGGATTCTCTCAAGGAACGACCACTTTTTGGGTGATGGCGTCAACGCGACCAGAGTATAACGATAAGATTCTCACCATGCAAGCGCTGGCGCCGGTGGCTTACCTAAACAACGCCAAGAGCCCACTCGTAAAGGCCATCGCACCGTTCACCAACTCGTTAGAAGTAAGTTATCTTTTGATTAGACAATCGTAATCGCTGTCAATGGACATGGATTAGCTTGAGGTCAAATCGTGTGTAAATAAACAGTAGCTGGTATTGAAACTGTAAACCACATAGTACTATTAACTAACAATGTTATAATGTTAACTAGGAAAATTGTTGTTTCCTCTACATTGTTGGTATTTGATTATAATTTCGTTGTAGTCCAAAAATAAACAATGCGTCAATAAATTACTATCGTATCCTCAATGTCATAAACAATCAAATTAAATTCACTTTACAAAATGTTTCAGCGTCTCTTCAAAATTTTGGGAACCAATGAAATTTTACCAAATGGAAAAGTCAACGAACTGGCAGGACAGTCCATTTGCTTGGAAGAAGCAATTACTCAAGTTCTTTGCACCAACCTTTTGTTCCTTATTTGCGGATATAATGAAGAACAATTGAATTCTGTGAGTTATAAAACGATTTTATTTCATAATAATCTATCCTACACAGTTTAGTCTGTCTCTCTTCTAATAAAGTAACTCATCTTCAAACTTCTATTTTATTTTGATTAATTGCATTATCCTTCACTGGTTGAGTTTTGTTGACGGTCAATTTCTGAGAGGAGTTGGGATTAGTCCCATACATCTAACTTAGCAATCTCACGCGAAATGTTTCGAAACTTGGTGTTAGCCAAAACTGATGGGAAAAACAATATAAACAAATAGCATTTATTAGCACTACTAATTTTCTACACTTTAGAGCAGTGGTTCTTAACTTAACCTTTAAGTCACGAGGAACTATTTTACCAAATGTCTTTCTTGTCAGGGACTACTTTTATTTTTTCAAAATCCTATGAAAGGGGAGGTCGATTTCTCGCCCGTGGTGCGTCGTTTTTTGCGTTGTGTTGACTGGACTCATCACGTCACCTCACTTGTTTATTACGAGTCTTCGTGGACCACTTGGAATGCCTCCAGGGACCACCAGTGGTCCGCGGACCACCGATTAAGAACCACTGCTTTAGAGAAAAAACCTATAAAGAATTTATCAATGTTCCAGACAATGGTCCCACTGATCGTCGGGCACACGCCTGCCGGCGCGTCAACCAGACAGATTGTCCACTTCGGCCAACTCTACAACTCCAAGAAGTTCGTCCAGTTTGACCACGGCCTAATAACCAACAAAATCAAATACGGTACTTTCAAACCACCCGCGTACAACTTAGACGCCATTCGAGCACCCGTATTCCTACACTACTCCGACAACGACTGGCTGGCAGCACCAGAGGATGTCGACAGACTGTCAAAAGAAATAAAAACTGTCATCGGGAAATACAGGGTACCACTGGCCAAATTCAACCACATCGATTTTGTATTCGCGATCGACGCAAAGAAGCTGATATACGACCGTTTGATGAACATCATGGAAAAGTTCAATTAATAAAAGATCTTTATGTTTAATTATAAATATGTAATCAACACTTTATGACAATACAAAACATTATTTACTCTTGTTTGTTCTTTTCAATAACTAAGCTCCAGTATTAACCTGCAATGATCAAAAGGAAAAGTTGGCATTAAATGTGTAGGTATGAGGCCCTAAGGACAAAGTGCACAATAAAATCGCAAACCAGTCGAAAAATGGTCGAAAGGCCTTTCCTTTGTATGGAGTTTTGACGGATTCGATTTTGGATTCGATCAAAAAGTGTAACTTGTCTAGGGAAGCTGATCAATTTGCGTTTGAAGAACAAAGTGATTACTAACTTACAAAATTCGACTCAGAACTACCGGACTCTGAGCATATCGTAGAGCAAGATGGAGCTGATCTGCTGTTGTGTAGCCTCATGAAACTAGCGTCGATATCGGACTGCCTGGTGCTTTGCTTTTTGCTCTTCACAATCATGATTTCTCGTCTCACAATTTCCCCAAAAGTATTTTGGACTGAAAACATTTCATAAGGTCATTGAATTATAAATTATTGGATAGCAACCAACATTGCATACTACCTGTACTAAGTAAGTATGTTTACCTTTAGTGAGAAGATCGATTGGGTTTTCTTTTTTACTGCATGGAGCGTCCAATTGTTCGTCACTTAGAGTTGGTTCATTTGTTTTGTGAAGTACTTGTAGTAGAGATACATGCCTAAAACTCTGCAATATAAATATGTGGGTACTTCTCATTTACACTCAAATTTGATGGTCACACAATAATAGTTCATAAACGGTATAAGTTAGAACAATAACTTTGAAATCAGATGATAAAATATCTATTTACATACAATATAAATTTTATCGTAATAGAAGCAAAAATAATAGGAAAAAATTACANAACTATTTGCCCAAGGATCTATGCTATAGGATATAAATGTTTGTTAAATCGTTTTCACAGTATTTTTATAAAAATTTCAGCTTGTAAACTGACGCTAAAGTGGAAATTTACAAAACCTGTGTGGACTTATCTTGATAGAATTCTTAAATACTAAACTAATCGCAATATTTTCTCAATTAACTATTTAGACGACGAAATTGCCTAACTATTTATGCCTATAACATATTTGTAGTATTACTGGTTAATGATTGTAACGAGTTGAAAAAGTACTGTTTTTGCACCAAACGGCGTAAACGCTCTTAAGTAAGTACTATTTATATTATGTTATTGCTATTTGTCTATAAGACAAAATATATTTTTTATAAACACTTAAGAGTCATTTACAGTCATAAAGTTTGAAAATATTATTGCTGTGAAGTACAGAATCACTTTCGTGGCATCAAAAAATTCAAAACGTTAAAGCTTCCAAACGAGACTCACTATTTGACTGATTTACTGAGAATACAATCTTCACATCAAGCGCTACAATTAATGTTTACAAAAAGTTGAAATAAGTTAGAAATAAAATTCGCCACGAAGGTGACGATGAGAACCGTGGCGATGAGAAATACCCATGTACAGTCATTTTACAATATTCTACTATCATCATCATTATTTCAGCCATAGGACGTCCACTGCTGAACATAGGCCTCCTGACCTCCCCCAATGACATTCTACTATGTAAGTATGTAATTAAAAAGAAAAAAAACATACATACAGCGGAACATAGAACCTCCTCCTTTTTTGAAGTCGGTTAATAAACAATAATTACCTCATTCCTGCAATTTTTCATAGTAATAATCATTTCAGAGTCCGTATTTTTTACGGAGCTCCCTCTTCTGTTGTCCTCGATACAGCATTCATAAGGTTTTGGAACTAATGCTGATTTATCAAAGTTAGGCGATTCGGGAATAGGAGACTGCACCACAGTCTTCCACGAACAAGTCTTGTAAAAGTTCTGCAACTCTATTTTGAGAGAATTGTTCTCTCTTTTCAATTTGTCTATTTCTGACTCTTGACAGTTGCACCTTTGTTGTAATAATTCGATATTATTTTTAAACGTTTTGAGGTCTTCGGACTCTATGTTGCATGTTTCGCACGCCTCGTCCACCATCCTTACTCGGATAGACGTGCATTTATGAATTTTACGAATAATCTTATCAGCATTTCGATTCATACTGATGTTGGATCTCCCATGGTGATCTGTTGTTCTGGTTCTTTGAGATAACAAAGAACTTGTGGGGCTTTTAACTTTATTCACCTTTAGAGAAACCGTTGGCTCTTTTATATCTAATTTGTTGCAAGGCCTTGGGATGCGTGTTGTTGTTTCTTTCCTTGGACAAGTCGACTTCCAAGGGCATTCTGATTTATTTAAACTGGATCCTCTGCTCAACAAAGGAGTTACATTTTTGACAAAAAGTGCTTGTTGGACCAATTCCTTTTCCCAAAGTTTGGCAACTGATTTCACACTGGCAGTGCGACTGTCTTGAACATTCTCAAATTCTTCAGTCTTTGAAAGGTTGATACCGAAAATTCTTTCGACTATTATTTTCCAAAACATTTTAATACTTCTCAAAACATCGAGGCACTTGTCACAAGGCCAATGACTGGTTTCAAAATCTTCCTACAAAAACATAAGTATTTGGATTATAGGTACTACAATGTTACCTTTAAATTTTATTTAGTTTTAATTATAGTCCTATTTAACTTACTTCAGCAAAATATTTATCGAAATTTGGGTCATCCTTGAGGCATTCTTTTATCGCATGGCAAGAAGTACAAATACTTTCAAGCAACACTTTGGACTTACAGTCTGGATGGCATCTGGGAGTAGTCTGTAATAAATGCTCAAAATTATCTTCTCTCTTTATTATACGAATATACATTAATTAAGATTATTAAGCAATTTAATCAAGCATCAGCGTTTTCGGCTTGTAATACAGAGATGGCAGATACCTAAATTTTTTCAACTTGCTTTTATAGGTATACTAGGAAAACTCACAGAAAAGCTCCTTTATACATATACCTAGATGATCTTTGCTTTACCATCTTCACTACTCTAACAAATTAAAAAATATTTAAGTAAAATGTAAGTGATCTCACCCTCGCACGACTCCGGCACGTCATTGTCCTCAAAAATCTAGCTAACGTGCAAACAGGCAAAACACAAATGGGCATATCGCGCTTTATCCATTCCTTCAGGTAGCGGTCACGCACCCTCTCGTCGTGACTCCATGCCCTCACGTCGCTGCAAGACTCATAAGACTTGATTTTACCCTCGTTCCTTGATGCAAGCCGAAGGTGAGTAGGGATGTTAGAGCCTAACAAATTCATTGAATCAGCGCCGATTCAAAGATATTTTTCGACTTTTCGTCCATTTGGTTATGTGATGTGACGCTAAATTTTGAAAACCAAAATCTGAGTGATGTTTGTAGAGAAATGACATTAGAAACAGATCATAGAGCAAAACGAAAAGGATCCTGAAAAGGAGACTGACCTTTCAGAGATTTTCTAAGTTGAGAAAAACCTTTTTGGTTCACTTACTGGTAGAATCGTCACAAAAAAAACTTCATTTGAAAATGACATTCCATTTCAAGCCGCCCTTCCGCCTCGATTTCTGATGACATTTCAAAATATTTGATATTTCGTATTTACATTTTGCCGTAAGTTAAAATATTGTAATCAAATATTTAAAATCACATCGTCATGCGTAAAATGGATGGAGGGGAAACGTAGCTACTAGATACATGTTTAGAAAAAAATTTGTAATTCATAAGTGGACAAGACAGTTGGCATCGCGATGTCTTTCATAACGAAAAGGGAGCGTGTGTTCAACGAGTATGATCTGTTTGACCTGCCGCCGAGGAATGAGGGGAAGCTGAAGGCATATGCGTCCTGCACTGACGCGAGAGCGTGGTCACACTTCTGTTCGGACAAGACCGAGCACCTGGTGGAGATCATAAAGCGGAATAATGAGACGTGCAGGACGAAGTACGTGCCGACCAACGTGATAGTGGACACCCTAATGGTCGCTAAGAACGCTGAGATCGACCGGCTGAGGCGAAGGATCGAGGAGTTTGAGCAAATGTTGGCCGCCTATGACCAGCTCGATTTGACCTGCGACCAGAAATGTGAAATCGCCAATGCCGTATGTATTTATTTTTAAACATAGGAATCCATTGCTTTTTCTCTTTTCATTTTAGTTAAATTGGTTCTATAATAATTCATTATCATCATTTCAGCCACAGGATGTCTGTCCACTGCTGAATGCATTTATAAGCCTCCCCCAATGATTTAATAATTAATACCTACTTATTTTTTTCCTTTTTAGCACGCAGCTATAAAAGCAGCCAACAAAGAACTGGACGAAATGGTATACTAATGCTGAAATAATACTTAAGATAAATTGCATAAGTAATTGTAATTCATTACTAATTATTTTACAGTGCTTGGATTTGGATCTATCAGGTTTCACTGAGGTATGCATTTGTGTAATAACAATTTTTAAAATACAATTATTAATAAGTAAAATAACTAAACCAACATATTTTCAGGGCATGGATTCCGACGCTTTTGAGGTGTGTAGTAGTTTTTTTCACAATTTTGTTACTGTGTAAATAATTTAGTTGTTATACTCACTCCCTACTTATTTTGAACTATACTATTTACATTTATTTACAGACAGGAAAATCGCGAGGAGATGAGGTATTTATACTATAATTAGATCATGAAATAGGTTAGGTATGTGGTATAGGTTTGTTATTAATTTTTCATTGAATTCCTTATTTTATTTTTAGCCATGCCGATACCGAACCGAAGAGGTAAAGGAAATTTGTAATAAATTAAATAGATATTGTAGAATCTCTCAAGCACTACACTTACTTACTAAACACTCGTTCGTCGTCGTCGTTTCAGCCAAATGACGTCCACTGCTGGACAAAGGCCTCCCCCAAGGTTTTCCACAATGAACGGTCCTGCGCTGCCCGCATCCAGGCTCTTCCCGCGACCTTAACCAGATCGTCGGTCCACCTAGTAGGAGGCCTGCCCACGCTACGTCTTCCAGCCCGTGGTCTAAACACTACTTTAATTGTACTAGAAGTGTCACTTTCGTTCAGACACAGTTTTACCCCCGCATTAGTATTTTAAACATATTAATATTATTACATTTATTACCTACCTAGTATTTTGCGAATGCATCCTACCTAATTACACACATATTTTAATTATTGGGTAAATGATTTATGAATTTTATTATAACATTACAGACTATGATGTCAAAAGGAAGTGAGGTAAATTGGCATTATTATTTTGTTTCCTGGTAAGCTAAATTAGTATTGACAATGTACCTAATTTTGTACTATTTTTATTTCCAGAGTGCCAAGTCTCGAGGTGACGAAGTGAGTTCACTTTCCTAACTTTTCAGACTCGTGCTTTTGCCATCGTTTAGATTTTTTTAAGTTAGTACAATAAAAATATTAAAAACCTTTATGTGAAAAAAAATGTTGCTCTACCTCGAGATGGCTTATAAAAAAATAGATATTTCGTGTTAAATAGCTTAAACCTGTATAGTCTTTTATTGACGCTAATTTTACATTATTTTGTCACTTTGCAGTGGAATTTTGAGAAAGAAGCGACTCCAAGAATGGAAACCAAATCCAATCAAGCTGGGTTAATTTGTATCTGTGATGCTAGTACACGTAAGACTCTGATTTATTGAATCTTGACTAGACTAGCCCCTAGGATAGTGCCCCAAAAATACTGTATGAATGTACTTTTTTAATGCGACTCTACCTATAGTCTTGATTGATTAAAGTCAATTATAGTGTTTCGAGCTCAGACTTTCGAATATAATGTTGGAATAAGGGTCTCTTCAATGACTAATTATTATTGAAATTACGGTTTTAACGTTTATTTAAAGTGATGGGTTTACAGACTGTATGCAACGAGATCAAATTGTCGAGTGTTTTAAACGTTCGATTTTAAGTTGACAGGAGGGCGGCGCGGCGCGAAGTTAGCTGCGATCTTCACTCTGGTTCCGCGCCTTTGACGTCATGAGTTGTTTTCTTGCGCCCATAGATGGCGCTAACATATAGTTAAAAACTTTAGTTACTTGAGCTGTGATTACAATATTTTTGATGCCATCTTTGAAAAAATAACTTTAAACCTTTACGTTTAGATGCTCAAGATCCAAGAATTCAAGAGATGCAAGACGTTATTATCAGTAAAGATGCCAAATTATGCGCCATGCAAAACACAATAGCGGTATGTGCCGAAAATGTTACTTTTTCAAATTAACAAAATATTAATACCTTTAATCACCCGATTCTTACCAATTTCATCAGGTTATGGAGAATGACGTCTGCGAACCATATTGCATTTATGCGCATATTTACACCGCATTAGAGAAAATTTTTGGAGTATTGTGTCAAAACGATAAGTATAAGCTGTATTTGAGTTTAATGGTTAGTCTTTTTAATACAATTAATCTTTTTAAAACAAAGTTACATAATGAACAGTGACACTAAATTTTTTAGAGAGCTGAACGTACAATTTTATTTTTTTAGACAGCAGGCAAAGATACCCGGTGCATTGATATCAAAGGCAAAATTCTTTATAAGTTGAAGGTGCTAGAAAAGTTTAGTATGGCTCTTATAGCTCCTTGCTCACAAGAAATGAGGGACTCGAATCAAGACTGCGCCTGCCTTCGAGCTGAAGTCGTTGCGCGCCTGGACTTCGCGCCTTTAGCAGCCGACAACAAAACGCCGAGTCTCGACAACAAAAGAGCCCAACTAGTAGCCGACATAATGGAGCACGATGAAATGAAAGAGATCTTGAGCAAAGACAGTGCTTCAGAAAAAAACGACGAAGAACGAACGGACGACGCCTGTGTATTCGATACCTACAGTATAGACACAGAGAATTTGAAGCGCTTGAAAAATTTACAAGAAAATTACGACGATCTAATGACATGTTACGAGAAATTGAAATTTGAAAGAGACAACCTGCAATCTAAATGCCGTAAATATGAAGAGTTAGAAAAGGAATTCGATGATTTAAAAGACCAACTTAGAGAGTATAATGCTTTGTGGACAGAGAAAGAGCATTATCGAAAACGTTCCATTGACATTGATTCCCTAAAAGAACAATACTTGGTGTTAGCTGACGAAACATCCAACTTAGAAACCCAACTTAAGGCTGAATGCGAAATAAACCATATGAAATCTATTACTATCGAAGAATTAAGAAGTGAAAATATAGCACTAGAGAGAAAATTAAACGAAGCTCTGATTGCATTTGAGAAAGAAAAAAATGCATTTCAATGTAAAATAAAAGAAACTGAGTGTACGGTTATGTGTCAAGAGCAACAAATAAAAAGTTTGTCGGTTCAAATTGATAGACTATTAGAACACAGTCACGACAAAGTTGGTATATTATGAGTTTTAGTAGTTTCAATCTTTTTACTTATTTTATTTTGTTTTATTACCTTTCCACAAGCTGTAGTTCAATTAATTGTTGGTATTTGCAAAAAGGCAACTGATTTAAGGTAAGTTGCACTAACAAGACTGCAAAAATTTGTAACAATCGTCAAAATTTCTTTTACCTTACGCATTTCAGTTACAATCACATGAAGACCCATCACAGTCCTTAGCTTTGATTGATGAAATAGAATCTCTGAAAGAACAGATTAAAAATCTGAAGGACACACTATTTTGTTCTGAAGAAGAAAAACAACAATTACATGAAGAATATCAAGATAAACTCAAATTCATTAATGAACTCAAAATGGAAATTGAAGATTGGAAGAGTAAGGATCAAAAAACGCAAGCACGGCATAACATCACGTCAGAAGTCTTTAAGATTTTTGACATGACGTCGTGTTGTATCATCATTAAGCACACTTTATTTACAGATTTTAAGTAAAACATTTTTAACATTGTAGGTACGTATGAGAAAACAGTTCATCGCAATGATTATTTGGAAAAATGCGCAGACAATTTTAGGGAAGAAATGCATAGACTTATGGAAGAAAACGGGAATTTATCTCAAGACGTAGAAGAAAAATCTACTGCGGTTCAAAATCTCATAAACATTATCAATACTAAATCACAAGAGGTTAAACAATTAAAGGACAATATTGAAAAAAAAGATGAGGAGCAACAAATTTTAAATAATCAAATCCAAAAATTAAAAGAAATTTATAGCCATAACATGTCAGCTGTAGAAGAAGAAAAAGTTAAAGCATTAGAGTCATTGCAATTAGCACGACGAGAAAGTCAAGAGCTACTTGAGAAGGTGAAAGATTATAGTGACGTTTTACACCGAAATAATGACATGACAAAATCTTTGGCTACTACGTCTAAAGACTACGATGATTTAAAAAATGTTCTTAAAGATACCATAGAAGA